CCCCCCCCCCCCCCCCCCCCAAAAAAAAAGAAAAGAAAAGAAAAGAAAGAATAATAAAAGAAAAACCCCCACCCAACAAAAAAATGGCACACACATAGAAATTTAAAAATAATAATAAAAAGAACTACCCACCCAAAAAAAAAACTGCCATGTTTGAAGGCAGTTAGTCTAAGTCATCATGTGCTTCGTGTGTGGCATGCTTCGGACAATTTTGTCTCTATACATTTATACTGCTTTACCCTCTTTTCCTCCTCTACTTTTCACGGATAGTTTGAACCTTTCCCCTATACATTGGCATCATTTATGACAATTTCCCATGGTTCATGAGAGGTTTGTATAACTTTGAAAATTCAGGAGGGTTTTCTTTAACTTATAAAAATCAAGGGGATTTGTGCAAAATACCTCACATTTCGTAGAGTTTTTGTGAAATTCACCCTTCATTTACAATGATAGTGGTTTATTCTATATGTTTCTGAAACCTGAGTTGCAACCTGCTAAATTCACAGCTTATCAAATAGACCCCATGTTACACAATCTCTTATTATAAAAACATATAAATTTATTTATAGGGGTATTTGCAATATAAGACCCCATGTTACACAATCTCTTATTATAAAAACATATAAATTTATTTATAGGGGTATTTGCAATATAAATACATACAATTCACACTTTCGTTTCTGTTTGATGAATATTGATACATCACATGGCATATCATCTCCGAAATTTGTCTCGACAAACAGGAATAAGCAAAATCCATCCCAAAAGAAAATCTTATTTCTCCGTATGTTGGTTGCTGTAACTCAATTCATTGGTATACCTAAACTCAGAATTTGTTTTTTCTCCCCCATTATCTCAGGATAATAAAGCAAAGTTACTAAAAACTGTCCGTCTATATTGTTTTTGTCATTTCTTTTTACAAATATATTGATTCATATTTATCTTGTTATATCAGTTAATTACTCATTAAAATTTAAATACAAGTATATCTGACCCTCGCCTGACCCCATGGTGGGAAACTCGTGGGGCTGCCCATTTTTACTTAAATCAATAATCTAATATTCAAATACAATTGTATTTTTATGAAAACATGAATTTTTTTGTTTACTCAACCAATACCTCTTTCATTGTGATGGGCACCCGGCAAAATGATTCAGCTAAAATTTCTTATACGGTATGCTATTAAAATTAGGTTTTCTGTCCAGAAATATCCTACCAAAACCTCGGACATGTCATAGTTTTTGCTCTTGTAGTTACTAATTCGGTAGTTTTAATACTTTTGGAATCTATTGTGGATAGATTGCTTATGTTTCTACATTTTGGATGAGCAGCAAAGGATTTACTATGAGGCCTTGTCAAGGAGCCATAGATCAGCTTGATTTGAGGAACTTGGAAAATCAATCCCAAATGTGAGTCCTGGAATGGCCAAATTGCAAATTATTGTGGTCCTTTATAGTAATATCGAAGGCAAAAATTCCGTGCAGCTACAAAGTTTTGTTCGTATAAAAAGCAATTTTTTATAGTGATGTAAATTATACAGGAGAGTTTAAGATTTTGATATAATTGAATGTACCTCGAAATATGTATGTACTGTCGTACTGAGAAATGCAATTTTGATTGGAAAATGATAGGGGCACACCCTCAACTACAATCTTAACCACAACCCCCTCTCTCAGTTGCTACAGTATACCAGGGTCCACATGAGATTTTAAAATTTAAAATCTCATGTGGGCCCTGGTGTTCTGTAACAAATGAGAGAGGGGGTGTGGTTGAGGTTGTGGTTGGGGGTGTGCCCCTAGTGCCACCCATTTTGATTCACTCGAGAATACGAGTTACATGTGTTGCGAAACTTTTATTTGTAACCCCAGGGAACTTTTAGAATGTTGATGATGTGTAATTATTTGACGTTTTTGGTTTTCATGTAATGATTTACACAGGAGAACTTGTGATACACGTGTAAAGATGAACACGTATTATACTTGATCACTAGTTCGGAAGTATGTTATTTTTAATATATATCATAAATCCGTATCTTCTAACGTCAATATCCATAAAACATTTATACATGCATAAGGATATCATTCGGCCAATTCAAATAAAGGTCACATGCCAAACAATTGGTATATGAAGGTTTTCTTTTTTCTTTAGAAAAAAAAGAGAATGTTGAATTCAAAGTCTATTTTGTAATTTTGGGTCGTCTTTTGTTGGTCATTCTCGCTAGCAAATAAATTTCAGTGATTTAATGGATTTGTACATGTATCCGTATCTATTTTGTACTGCCATGATGTTCACTTTCATTGCATAATGAGTTCATTGATTTGAGTTCTGAAATAACTTCCAAAGTTTACGTTGATTTAATTGGACTTTCAACCTTTTCAGGGGTAGGAGGATCCAATTAATAAAGAAAAAAAATTAATGCTTTTTCACTTTACCCCCCGTTATGTAACATTCATTAGCGTTGTGTTCCAATGACTTCGGAAGCAATCCATTCTTTTTTGCGAGGGAAAGTTAGCAAGGCAAAGTTTTTAAGACAAGCAAAACAATTCTAAGTCATTTTTAGGGAGTTTCATACTGTAGGAAATTCACCAAAGGAGGTGGTCGCGGTATATCATCTATTAATAATGCCAGCAAAATCATTGCTAACTGATTATCAAATAATCAATACAAGTACTTTTGGTCTTAAAATTTCCAACTACGCACTATTGCATTAGAATTGGAACAGTAAAAGAATACTTCCTTAAAAGAAAACTGTTTAAAAAAACAATTCCTTTAAATGAATAATAATTCGAAATGAAGACAACTAAAAAACATTGCACTGGAACAATAATGCTATGTTTGGATGGGGTAAAGAATGAGAAGGGAGGAGAATTTTAAGTTTAACTTTATTTGAGAGTTTTGTTAAGAGGGTAAAAAGGGGAAAGGAAGGAGAAGATTTCATAAAACTTTTATGATTTCTTTCCCCCTCAAATCGTGGGGTAAAGAAGAAAAAGAGCAGAAAAGTAAAAGTTATCAATACAAAAGACGTTCTCCTTATAAAACTTTAAAACAAGATATTATATTTCCTCTCTCTTTCTCTACCTTTACTAAACTCTCAAACATAGCATTAAAAAAAAAATCAGCTAAAAGGTAATTCCTCTAAATGGATAGAATTCGCGATTTAAATAAAACCTATCATCATGAGGACTTTAGCGAGGAGGGCAAAACGGCAGGCGACCATGAGAACAATAGGCATAGCAGCGGCATCGAAGGCAAAATTGGTACGTAGTTGTCGAGTGCATCCAAACCTTAAAAAAGTACAAAAGTATCCTATAGTCATTGTTCGCCAGATACATTATCAATGTGACATTAACCAAAAAGAAATGGAAGGTGCAATAATTTATTATTGCTGGATCTTATAATAAGTTATTTATAAAAATTGTTTATAGAAACAAGTTATATAAGCCGTTGCAAATTGTTGCTTGATAATCAAATATCAAAAGCTATTTTAAAAAACAATACCGTGCTTAATGATAATTATTAAAATATAAAAGCCATATGTGTGATGTAAACCCAAAAAACATAACGTGCTTTTAAAAGCATCCTTAACTTAAGTTACTTTTGAAAGCAGACTCTTAAACAATTTCTGTAAGCACGCAATTTTTTTTAGAACAATTTTTCTAAACAGACCCATTTCAAATTATTTTTTTAAAACCAACTTTTTTTTTTTATTTATCAAAACCGATCCGATTTTGTGATTAGCGGATTAATCACATTTCTAAATAGTCGGGGTTGGCAACCCCGACTATTTAAGACATTAATTTTTAGGGTTTAAGGTTTCTAATTAGGGTTTAACACCGTCCTAAATAGTCGGAGTTGTCAACCCTGACTATTTAGGAAGGTGATTAGTCTGCTAATCACAAAATCGGGCCGGTTTTGGTAAATAAAAAAAAAGAGTCGGTTAAAAAAAAATTGAAATGGGTCTGTTTAGAAAAAATGTTCTTTTCTTTATTAACAAACACTATTAACAAACACTATAATTGAAACCCGCTAAGGGGGTGGCCTGCAATTGCAAGGCTGCAACGCTTAAAGCTCAGGAATTTTTCTTGAATTAGTCAGGGGATTAGATGTAACAATCGCAAAGCTCAGGGGGGTTTCTGAAACTAACCCCGTCGACGAACTGAGTGGAACGTAACGAACGACGGATAAGCCTGTAGCGAATACGGTCACTCGCTCCCCATCCGCCGAAGGTGACCGCACCTCATCTCCACCCTGTAAAAATCTCAAGCCCCTTTCAAGCAAAAGACGAGGAGGGAAAAGAAAAATATCCCCTCTTTCTTCCAAATTCAATGGAGGGATTTTGCATTAGAACTCCTCCTAGGGTTACCATTTCTGTTCTAAAATCTTCGCAATGCAGGGGAAATCTAACGACTAAGGCGTGGGCATCGAATAATTCGATGGATAACCGGCGGAAATCCCCAGTCGTTCGCTGTACTAGCGCTGAGAAGGTCAGTAATTTCTCAGTTCGTCGATGGATTATAGTCAAAATCGTTTTTTCCTTTTTAATTTCCATTTTTCTCGGTATAAATCGATAATTTGTTGTTCAATTTCTGATAGAATTGAGTTGCTGGATCGTGCAAAAGTTCATTTCTAGTAATATATCAATCTCAGTTACAAACAAAATACTTCTACTGTATTTTGGGGAAATTGCTTCTAGCCCCAAAATAACAACAAGTATTCTCCCCCATGACTTTTTCAAAGCTCGCAAAGCCTGAAAAGCAAATTCATAGTTCCTTTCACCCCCAAAATTTGGAATTGAAACCTCATGTATATTTTCGAACATATGAACCTCAAAATACCCTCACTCACTCTCTCTAGCAGCCGGTCACCAGAGAATAGGTACGGTAGGCATTAATGGTGATTAGAAAGGAGTTTTGGAGGGGAAAACCTCATTTTTCTCCACCCCCCCCCCCCCCCCCCCCCAATAAATCATCTTTGCTTAGCCCAACTACTCTCTCCCGGCCATTCCATAAATCCTCTTTGACTCTTCAACTACTTTTCTTCAAAATGACGGGTGAATCCATCCTTTGCATGGTTACAAACACCAAAAGCAGCAAAGAGGGTGAGAGTGTTTTCGTAGTTATCAATAGACCTACAGAAATCATTAGCCTGAAGTATCATGTGTCCCAAAGGCTTAAACTACCATTGCAATATCTTTCACCGAAATTCATATCCGAAAAGGAAAAAGTTCAGTTTTGCAATTGAAAATGACGAGGACTTGAGATTGATGTTCAAGTATTGTCGTCGTAATGGATTTACAGACATAAACTTATATGCTGCCTCCGTTGGGGAATCCTCAACTATTCAGAACACCTAAACTTCTCTAGAAAATATGTAAGCATTTTAATTTTAATTTCCTTATGAGTTGGTTGTTAGGGTTATGAGTTGGTTATTAAGGTTATAAGTTCATTGTTAACCTTAGTAAATAGTTATGAGTTGGTTATTAACCTTATGCATTTATTGTAGAGGTTATGAGTTAGTTAAGGTTTTGAGTTAGTTGTCAACCTTAGTAGGTAGTTATGAGTTGGTTGTTAAGGTTACGAGTTGATTGTTAACTGTAGTAGATATTTATAAATTTTTATTAGCCTTATGAGTTGGTTGTTAAGGTTATTATTGGTTGTTAACCTTACGAGTTGTTTGTTAACCTTTTTTAGGACTGTTCTAACTAAAAATTCGCGATGCATAGTTGCCACGCTCATCTAACTATGTAATGATGAGTGTATTCCTAATGACAATCCCACTGGCAACTCGATCATGATGATAGAAAACATGGTTAATAACCAAACCAACATCCTAGCTGAGTGGCACACGACCATACGTGCAAATGGACAGAAATTTGATAGTACTGCTGAAGTTAGATTAGTACTTCACTGCTTCTTGATTGCCAAAAGGTTCGAGTATGATTTTTACCATAATGAACAAAAACGTATAAGAGTGCATTGCCGATTCAAGGACGCGCTGGATTGCCCTTGGATGTTGTTTGCTTCCCACTCTGAAATGCCTTAATTATGACTATAAAGAAATTCTGTGCTACTCACACTTGCGGTCAACATGGAGCTAATGTTGATAACTCAAGGGCATCATGCAAGTTTATTACAAATCAAATACAATATGTTTTGAAGGATAGGTCAAATCTTCGTCCAATTGATATCAAGAATGACTTGCTCTCACAGTACGACATCAAGATTAATTACAGCAAAGCGTGGCAAAGCAAAATGAGAGTACTCGATGTCTTCTCCAGCTTTGGTATCAGCGAAGATAGATTTTATCTTATTCTCGTCTCACTGTCCCAGCAAGTGCTCGAAAGTAGGAAGATCAAGATCAGGAGAGCCAAAATGAACATAGTGTCTGAATACACTATCTTCATAGGCATCCTAATGCTTTTGACCCATATGTTGCACTAAAGAATGCATGAATTTATAGCAAGCAGTAAGACTACAAGTAGGCTGCAACTCTGATATAACATTTTGTCTACAAAGCAAAACAATAAGACATAACGTTAACAATTAACATGTCATAAGTTAACAATAACATTAACAATAAAATCATAAGCTTAACAACCATTCAATAACATCAACAATCAATCAATAACTTTAACAATAAAAGCATAACATTAACAATTAACATGGCACAAGGTAACAGTAACATTAACATCTAAAAGCCATACGTTAACAATAACCTTAACAACTAATAGTCACAAGTCACAGTAACCTTTATAGCAGACTCATAACCTTAACAACTAACGCTTAATCTTAACAATCAACAAGCCACAAGTTACCAGCAACCTTAACAACTAACATGCTACACGTTAACAGTAACCTTAACAACTAACAAGTCAAAGTTAATAGTAACCTTCACAACATATTCATAACCTTAACAACTAACACAAAACCTTAACAATTAATGAATGTTCTTGACTACTAAAAGCAAACCTTCACAACTTAACTGTAACCTTCACAATTAACACAACATGCAACATTATAAATAACTAAATTATGAAGTAAACTCACCTCTTTTTGATTGTCAAATGCATCTCTTCCACATCGCTCCTATTCGTTCCTCTCTTTAGATCGAGGAGTGCTCTCAAGGCGTCGTCGGTGCTGCTCTCTATATCAATGCGTTGGACAGGGTTTATGGGTTGAACTGGACTCGTGGGAGGAGGATGGCCAGCTGCTATGTCCTCTAGAACATCAGCAATTGATGTGCCAGTTTCAGTCCACTCTGTGCTCAAAGGCCTTCTTTTGACGACGTACTATGACGCGTTGTCGTCTTCGTTGATATCTACTGGGGTGACCACTTTAGGAGCTGACTTGTCGGCTATGATTCCGATTAGGGTGTACGATGGCAAGATTACAAGAGAATAGGTTGGATTCTGCTCTGGTGTGGGTTGATTTATTAAGGTTTAGAAATTGTGGGTAGTCGGTTTGCTTGGACAGAAGAGAGGCTAGCACCCTCGACGAGGAGTGGTTTTGAGAAGTGAGAGGCGGTTAAATCAAATGTCATTTTGGGTATTTTTTTTAACACTGGGTCATGTGAGAACAGGGTTTGGGGGTGAAAGGAATTATGAATTTATTTTTAGGGGTTTTGGGAGCTATGAAAAAATCTTTGGGGAGTGGGGTGGGGGGGGATACTTGTTATTATTTTGGGGGCTAAAAGCAATTTTCCCATGTATTTTTAATCGACGGTTGTTAAATCATCAATAATGGGAATTCATGTTACGATTCTCGATGATTTTATTATTACCTAATCTATGAGGAGAACATGAAGAAGTATCTACAAGAGAAGCAGAACATTAGTTGCTAAATTTGCAGATTGCATGAAAGATGCTACAAGGAGTTTGAGTTATAGCGACTACCATAAAAAAAGAAGGAGAAATGAAGAAAATGAACTATTTACCGGACGTATTTCCTTCTTCTAATTAAAATTCTTTTCAGCCAATTTCTTATGTTCAGGAGCAAGCTATCCCTTCTCCATAATTGACTTAATCAAATTTCTCTCTTTCCACAAGTTACTCCTTTTCCCAATAGCTTGGACAGTTTCTATGCTTATGTTCTTTCTCATGTAGTTCTTTAGAGTTTTCATAGGAGTTGTAACGCCATCCTTGTCCTTTGAAGAGTTAAATCCATCCTTCCATAGTGTTGCTCAGGAGCATCTGATGTCATCTTCACCATCTCGATGCCTTCCCGGCTATGTACAGTGTGCCATGAACCTTTCGATTCAAGATATTGCTTTCTCAGTTAGCTATGCTTACATATTTGCACATAACTGAACCTACACAGTCCAATTTAAACCCCTAATATGCTATATGTGAGAAGGCGTGAAAGTACAGTTTTTAACAGATTCTTGAGTTATCAAAAGAGCTAACAGGCAATGGATGGTTATAAATTTCAGACGGTGCCATTCTCAAAACTTTCCGGTGAATGCACCTCTACACTGTGTTCCTTAGATACTATCACCCAATTAACTAGGGGATGTTTTTTATCATTAGCATTAAAGCTTGTGTGATGATTTGGTCAGTGTTTTCAATGCGCGAGGCGCAATGCGAGGCGCAAAGCATCTTTACGCGCACATGCGCGATGCGCGCGCCCGAGTGATGCGAGGCGCACACCACACACATAATATTTCAATATATGTAATCAAGCGCGAAAGAACATATTTTTAGAATTTACATAAAAAATATCATGATAAATAATATCTTGCTACAAAATCACAATATATTGCCTTAATTTCTAATGCTAACACCCAACATAGTAGTAAATTTCATAAATTTTCAAATCAAATGTTAAATCAAGACTTATATCCAAACTAAGGATTAGTAATGGTCCTCAATTGAAGGTTATTAAAAAAGCCCAATGGATTTATTTTGTTTTTTGGGATATGGAATATCAAGTATAAAGACTCGATTGAAATGTTAACAAAAAAAACTATACGAGGAAATGCACTACATGCATCCTACACAAAGTACGGATGTACGCGAGGCGCAAAAGGCGCTGCTGCATCAGATGTGGGGCGCATCGCCACCGCCCCGCATCGTAAGGCGCATGAGGCGCAATGAGGCGCGCGCATTTGAAAACACTGGATTTGGTATGACAAATAATAGACTACTGCATTTCCGTCCTGCTAGTTATAGTTGCTTATCCATTTTTCTGTCCTGGAATCTCATTCTTTTTTCACATGGTTGTTTTTAGCTTGTTTAAGATTTTGCAAAGAAGCAGCTTCAATTTCTTACGGATGGACTTTGTTATACACTAATACAAATCCCTAATAAAAGATATCATTTTGAAATTCAAATTTCATTAATTTTAAGGCATGGCAAATGACTCAGGCGTGCAAAATACAACCTTCAAGTAGTAGGACAGCCATAGCTGATGAAATAAATCTCTAGTCGCTCCATTAATCTGATTTATCTCTGTTCTCCTGCATATATTGGGATGTTTATTTTGGATTCCACCTCTCTGTAATGTATATACCATATTCGTCTTTGTTGGCAATTACTTCTTTTCTTATCTCTTACTAGAGGAGGAACTTGAAAGCCTAGGTAGAAGTGGAGGAGCCAGCAGATGCAGTAACATCTTATAACTGCCACTGTCTCTTTTTCTCCCTTTTGTACTGCAGCTTTACTATATTAACAACGACAACTATATTCCATTTAACCCTTCTGCAATGTGCACATATGTGTCTATTCATGTGTTTCATGCTTGTGTATGGTATATGTGAAATATTGGTCTGCTATTAGTTTTTCTTGAAGCATTTCACAAATTGGAAAGACACCTCACTTTCATAGCTGCATGTGTTTTAACTGTGATTACTTTTGTTGCTGGTCATGAATTCTTTCATTTAACAACTAGCATTTTTTAACTTTGAATTTCTACGAATATATTTTTGAACAGTTTTCAAATGCTTTGATGATATGAAAACCTGAAATCAAGTACCTATTTTCAAAACATGGAAAAGTGAAAACCAATGAAGTAAGTCTCTGACCTACCGTACCCATAATGGGAACAAACATATCAACTCTAAGTTCAGTAGGTTTTCTTTTACTGTGTTCTGCAATCTTCTTAACTTGTGTAACCTCTTCTCTCAACTCTAAATTTCTGAGCAGTTGAATTTGCAGGATTCAGTGGACACATATGGTGCAGTTGCCTACACCAGTGATTATGTTGCAAACTCAAGGGAAGCCAGAGAGTTTGAAAATGGAAATCCAATAGGTGACATTTTAGAGAACCAGGGCATACGAATTAGAAGACGTCCTCCAACAGGACCCCCAATGCATGCAGTAGGGCCTTTTGAATTCCGCTTGGAAAATGAGGGAAACACTCCTCGAAACATCCTTGAGAAAATTATATGGGACAAGGATAAAGAAATCTCACAGGCACTCTCAAAACTAGTAGAAAATAGTATTAATATGTTAATTCCCTTATCAAGTGACTAATACTAATAATTTTCCTCTCTATTATTATTCTCAATTCAGCTCAAAGAAAGGAAACCTTTGTCTGTGTTGAACAAGGCTCTTAACCATGCACCTCCTGTTAGAGATTTTGTTGGGGCTTTGCGAGCATCATATCAAAGAACTTGTATGCCTGCTCTCATAGCCGAGGTTAAAAAGGCTTCTCCAAGCAGAGGAGTGCTACGAGAGGATTTTGATCCAGTGAGTTTGCTATTTCCAATTTAGTTGTTCTAGTATTAAATTGTTTGCATGATTTGTAAAGGGTTATGATTACGAAAGAAGTATTTCTCTTTGAAAGCCAAGAAAATTTTTATGTCCCTGTCTGTTCCACTGCTTTAAAAAACCTCCGCCTAGTCCGCCTAGGCTGTACCTAGGCCGCCTAACTAGCGCCTAGCGTCTAGGCAGTACCTAGGTTGCCCACTTAGTTTTGGGAATATTTAGGGAAGCGTTGCCTGCTTACGTGGCCTGCACCCTTTAGGTCTTGATCGTGATTTTCTGTGTTGCAGCCTCCACGCCCTCTAAACTCCTTTAACCTCCAAATATGAACACCTCCACTACCTCCCCAATCTTAAGCAAAACCTTCTCGACCGCCACTTAAATGAAGAAAGAAATCTGTTTAGACACCAGTCCGACACCTAGGCTTTCTATAACATTGATATTTACTATCAGTTATTATAATTACAAAATAAAAAAAGAAAACCTCCTAGGCTCTAGGCGTCGGGTTCAACGCCTAGGCCCTCTAGCACTTTCTTAACCTTGTTAGTTATAATTTTGGCTATTTAGTATTTAAGTATGCATGGTTTATTGTGGATATAAGATTGTCATCTATTTTTTATCAAATTTATATGAATTTAATACATATTTTTATCAATTATTATAATTAAATAATTTAAAAAATAGCCAAATGCCTAGACGTCACGCCTAGGCGTCTAGGCGCTAGCTCAAATGCCTAGTCCGCCTAGCGCAATCTGTAACATTGGTCTGTTCTTACAATATTTCAGACCTACATTAGTTTGTCCAATTTACTTGTGGTAGAATGTTGATCCTGCTTATGTCGCTGCATCAATTGGGTATTTTTTTTGCTCTCCAGCATCTATAGCTTCTCTAATCCCTTCTTATCCAAGCTACAATGGTTGATACCCAAAGTACAATCATTCTGTAGTCCAGAATCCTTCATACCTTTAGCTCTGTCAGGGGACAATTGAACTTAATTGAGTTTGATACAGATATAATTATAAGATATGCATTGGCAGACGAAAACAGGTGCTGAGGATATGGATTGATCCTAATGTCATTTATGGTTTTTTTTTTCCCAGTATTTTATTTACCTTTCCATTCTCCATTTCCAAAACATCAACAAGATGAGTAAATAACTAAATACACAAGAAAAAATTAAATGAGGGGAAAAATTGCACTTCACTTACAAAGACATCAGTTGGAGAATACCATTTCTTCTACATAGTTTCTTTGACACTTGAGCTCAGGCCTCTTGTTCTGTTAATGATCTCGTCTCTTCTAGACTTAGGTTTTAGGATAGATCATGGGGTGACTGGTAGATCTTTGCTGCATACTTCTATTGAATTGTCTTTGGAAGCCTGCTGCAGTTGAATCTAATATGCTCAAAGGTTTCAAAGTAATTGGCAATGCCTATTATGTTGCCTAACAGTCAATGTTGGAGGAACTTATTTACCTTGCGCATGTTGCTGATGTCATCATTTTATGTCATTTGATTTGTAACAGATTCAAATCGCTAAAGCTTATGAGAGAAATGGTGCAACTTGCTTAAGTGTTTTGACCGATGAAAAGTACTTTCAGGTGTCTTTACTTTTTCGTTTGCATATTTTATTTTATGGATTAAGAAATAAGGACTTCTGGAAACGGAACCATTGGTCATTGACATGGTTGACAAATTTTTTATGCCTTCTCCATTTCAGGGAAGCTTTGAAAATCTAGAGGCTATACGCAGAGTTGGAGTTAAGGTTAGTATCATTATCTATTCCCAAGTTGGTCATCACATGTTATTATATTCAACAGGCCCTTTTTGCTCTTATCAGATATATGCCATCAGTATCTGCTTCTAAAATGGGTGCATAATTGCAGTGCCCTCTTCTTTGCAAAGAATTCATTATTGATGCATGGCAAATTTATTATGCTCGATCGAAAGGTGCAGATGCAATCCTATTAATTGCTGCTGTGTTGCCTGATCTTGATATCAAATATATGGCCAAAATCTGCAGTAAGCTTGGGATGACAGCACTTGTTGAGGTCCACAACTTTCCTTTGTTTAAAAAAAAAATACTTTAGCATGCTTTTAAGAGTTCTTTATTTCACGTTACAGATTTCAATAATTCTCAACTATCTACTGTAGCATACTTTTCTAGATTACATAGTTTATATGTTGAATTAGCTGGAGTTCTATATTGCTGATTTAGCTAGAATTATCTTTGTTCTAGGCAACTGTTTTCCACACACTATCAGTTTTCGAATGATAGCTCTTTGACTATGTGAACACCTGCTTCTGTTGTAGAGTGTTGCAATTTCCAATGCAACCTTAGATTGTAGACATTTCTATCTGATTAGCTACAGGTTTAGAATTGAGTGTATTGGAGAAATGTCGAGAAAATCATGCAGCTATTACTTAATAGATGGCATTCTATCATGAATAAGACCATTCGCTAGCTCTTCTTTGGCATTTTGTCATTTTAGAGATTTTACTACAGAATAGCACTGGCTTCTCTTGCATACTCAATCTGTAGCTAAGACATCTATACCAAAACATTCATTTTCTTTCATTGATCATGCATTTGAGCAGATACTATTTTCTGATGCTTTGTTTAATTTCAAGAGTTTCTTTAGAGCCCTAGTGGGGTTCATGAATGTCTTACTTTAAATCATTATGAAGAAAGATGTAAAATATCGGATTTCTGGGAAATATTAGACAACCAAATTCATATTGGAATGCGGATATCAGGGAAATATTAGGATATGTATTAAAAATCGGGGTGCTATATTGGATGATGTGAATATAAATAATATAATGTCCTATAATATAATCTAAACATACTTAATGAAATCTAAGTATTCAAAAATGTAATATATGTTTAGGATCACTAATCAACCTTTTAAAACCAATAAACGCCCAACTCGACATTGCAGCATTTCATCCAATTTTTTTGAGGCCAAATGGCACATGATATATTGGGAAAATCATAATATGTCTCCTGAAAATTGCCAAAACGGTGTATCATTTTAGGACAAGTCATATAAAAGGACTATCGGTTGAAATATCGACCATGTCGGGGATATTTAGCCCAAAATTGTCTAAAAGCAATATAAAGTATATTTAGACCATATCATTTTGCAGCAAGCCTTGTAAAAAGATATATCAGCCAATATATGGGTCATGTCAGTGATATGTAAAACAATGTTGTCAAGTGGTTTTTTTAGATTAATATTTCAGTTTAATGAAACAATTGATGGGTGACTGCACAAGATGTAGTGAGGTGACAACGTAGCATGACTATTAAATTTCCAAGGTATTGTAATATTATGTACATTTCCATAGATGGTTACCTTTCTCTGAAACTGTCTAGGCTGTCAGAAAAATTTCATACTCTAATTACCTTTATGATGTTTTTTATGGAGATCAGGTAAACATTTCAATATTTTATTATAGGTACATGATGAAAGGGAAATGGACCGTGTTTTGAGCATAGATGGGATCCAACTCATTGGCATAAATAACCGTAACCTTGGTATGCTGCTGTACCTCTTAACAATATGTATTGTATTGAAATTGTCTGTATCTATTGCATTTAAACCTACTTTGACTTGATGTAGAAACTTTTGAAGTCGATATTTCAAACACAAAAAATCTTCTGGAGGGAAAGCGCGGAGATACTATACGACAAAGAGATATAATGGTAAGATTTCTGACCTCTAGCAATTTTGCATCTGAAACCACTAGCATCGGGTTTAATAGTTCACAGCACCTATTTCACTTTTTTACATGGCTTGAATTTCGTATCATTTGTGTGTGATTGTATTGCTGATTGATTGGATTCTGTTTCTTGAATAAGTTGCAATTTACTGACTGGTTTATTGTTACTCTTGCCTGATACATAAAACAGGTAGCAATGTGGTTTGTAGTATTAGTTTGCATTTCCTGTGGTCAGAAGACCCATCACATGACGAATTTTCAGTCATATTTTGCACTCATAGTAGTCTCACTCTCAGCATATCCTAAAGGGGTAGAGCTATAGTAATATTTTCTTTTTTATTTTTCTAATTTTTACAATTTGTAAGTTGTATATTATTATTGTTAGTTGTACCTATGTTTGTTTGTATCACCACCTTTTTAGTCATGAAGGTGTGATACTTGACAGTACAATTCTTACCGAGATTGCAGTGATCCAGTATCTGTATTCCTAGACCTCGGCAACTCAATGTTTATGTATTGTTATTTGCTAAGTTATAAAAACTTTTACCTGTTCAATTTCACCTTCTGCAATGCAATATAAGCATACTGCTAACCTGTCCCAGCACCTTCCCTTCCCTCTCTATAATTACTGGATGTGACTATTTGATTTGCAGGTAGTTGGAGAATCTGGTTTGTTTACTCCTGAAGATATCTCATATGTTCAAGATGCTGGAGTTAAAGCTGTAAGTGACACGACCTTACCCTACAAATATTTACTGGCTTAGGCGAATAAAAATAATTTCAATTTTTAGTTTATAATGGTGCATTATGACTGTATTAACTATTTGTGTCCTGGTGATGACGACAATAAGGGTGCTGTGAGTATTTATCCTGCTTTGTTAAAGTTTTAAGGATCATCATTGGATTTACCAAGTGACATTATAAGTACATTATTATTATTTTGTCCCAGCTGTCAATTTACTCTTTTAATAAGGCATGGTTTGGTAGGGGTACGAAGAAGGAACCTGAGGTGAGGTGCAATGAGGTGCTAGGAAGTATACATTTTGTGCTTTTTTGGTTGGTAGTGGTAGGAGAGAGAAAACACATCAATTTCGCACTTTGTAGTTCATTTTCTCTCTCCACCAATTTGGAGGGATTCTTCTCTCTTCTCATTTCTAGTTGATTTTAAGTTGCCCCCTTACTCTACCTCACCTCACCTCACCTCACTCAAGATTCCCTTCTAAAAACCCACTATCAAAGGCACTTCAGCTTTTTTGTCTCTCCCCTCACCTCACATCACTGTATCATTATAGCTGTATATTTTAGATCGGCATCATTGATTTCATCATTATCGTTGTTGAAGCCTTCCTTCAGTGGAGAGGCTTCATTCAGTGGAGATGGTTGGTACGTCATTACAGTGTCGATATAGCTATATATCTTATATCATCATGATTGACGTCAGCATTATCTCTGTTCAGTCCTTTTCTCAGTAATGAAGCATGATAGGTATGTACAAGCTACAGATAACAATATAGCCGAGTTGTTGACAACTGTTGTCACCCAACTAATTTTGACAAAACGATTGCTAATGCAAGCAAGAGAGGGCCTTTCTGGTAAATCAAGGAAACCTGTCACCAACATGGTGCAAATGGTGCACTCACGCGCACACGCGTACACAAACACACACAGAGACACACGCACTCACAAACACACACAGAGACACACGCACTCACGCACACGCATACACGCGAACGCACCAGTCTTTTTTTATAATGTATACGTATATGTAAATATGTATGTGTGTGTGTGTGTTATACAAAATTGTATGGAATAGTCATATTTCTGCTAAAATGGTCTACTTTGGTTGAAGGTACCAATCTTTTTTTAGTGCCATTCCAATCTTTTTTTTAGTCTGATTGCATTATAAAAAATTTATTCAACTGGCATTATAGGTCCTGGTTGGGGAATCCCTCATCAAACAAGAAGATCCAGGGAGAGGAATAGCTGGACTATTTGGTAAAGATATATCTGTGTGAGTTCGATTTCATTTATAATATGCTGGTCCTATGTATGGAAAATCTTCCGAGTCCCAAAAAGTTTATGTAATGGAATTCTCAGATTATTGATCATTTCAATTTTTTTATCCAAGCATGTAAGTAATTTACTCTCCTGTGTTTGAAAGGATTTCGTTTGTGCTCCTCTGTATTCATAGTGCCTGATCCTGGTGTAGTTTATTTTCATGTTCCTGGAATTTGTATTCATAGTTCCTGATGCTCAATTTTATTGCCTTTGGACAAAGAAACTATGTCTCATTAAGAAAAATATAAAGGAAAAAAATGGTCTTCCAGTCGAAACCAATATTTATGATCACTATCTATTACCAAAACTGACATATTCAACCTCCATATCATAAATTAATCATGCTTTCAATCTTGTTGCAATATAAATAACCCTCATATTCAACCTCCAAGTTCTCAAACTATATCCTAGAAGCTTTTGTATCTTACAAAAAAAAATATGATCATTTATTTCTCTGCAGGTGTTGTATTTATTTTAAAGCCAAACTATTATTGCAAAAACCAGTGGCTTGAGATATTCTTTCTACATGTAATACATGAACCTCAACGCAAGGCAACTATCAACCTTACATGAATAATTCAAGCTCATGATGAAGGATTACTGCCATCCAAAGTCAACAAAGCCTTGTATAGTTGTGGACGTCGATCTCTAAACACACCCCAACCGTGCCTCTGAGACTTGAGTTTATCCAAGTCGAACTCAGCTATCAAGATGGCTTCATCTTTATCATTAGCGAGCGCCAATATTTCTCCCTTTGGGCCTGTTATAGAGAGATGATCAGAGCAATTAACTAAATTCCTAACTTGTAACTTAAGCTTCTTTGACGACCACTTTGATTTCATGTAATCAAAGACCCAACATTGCAGAATTTGTTCAACATGGAAGTCAAGGATCAGATATACATATTCATCTTTTAGATAAAATAGACCCAAACAAGAGGATGTAAGTTAATTCATCATTAATATTTATAATAATTCCTTTAGAGAAAATTTTCCTCCTGTGCCAGCAAAAAAAGTCCATTTTCACCGTAGAATGGGATAATCAACACTGTTCACTGCAAAATTAGCAATCTGACAACAATAGAAGGAACATTGTGTACAAGAACAATAGATTGTTAAGAGTGGGTAAAAAAAATGTAGCAAGTAGGGGTGGTTGAATAACGAGCATCGCGTATGAGATGATCAACACTATTCATCTTGATCTTTATACCAGCATATATACACAAAAAAACTCTCATCATACTTTCACTACTCAACGCCAATAAATTTTGTGGATAAGTCCTAACAGAACCACCAATTTCGAAACCACGTGGTTAAAGGTTAAGTGGTAAGAAGACTATTATAATTATGGTATATGTATGTCCTAGATAACAGAGTTAAGACAAACAATGTCGATGCACTACCTAAAGGGTGAAAATGGTCTTTTGCATTACTAATTATTCTCCCTCCCTTCTCTATGATTAAAGAAATATGAAAAAAGGAAAAAAAAAAAGGATACCTGCAATGAAGGAATTTCCATAGAATGTTATAACACTGTCACCATGTTCTGTTTTGATCGTCTCCTTCCCAATTCGATTAGAAGCCACAAGAGGAACCTGCATCAATCATAGTACATCACACAAATGAGTATCCAAACGAGAAAGATCACATTTTTTATTTTTCCTTCTAAAGAAAAGCTATGCTGAGAAGTAAAAAGTACCAAATTAGCCCCAGCATGGCCTTGCATTACTCTTTTCCAATGCTCTCTGGAGTCCAGTCCTTCATCTTGAGGTTCTGATCCTATAGCAGTTGGGTAGAACAAAATTTCCGCACCTTGAAGAACCATAGCCCTTGCTGCCTCAGGAAACCACTGATCCCAACAAATTGCTGTCATATGATGAAGCAAAAGTCTTAAATCTCTCATAAAATATGTAGTATTTAGGTTTAATGGAAAAATGCCACACATGCAATATTTAGCATAATTATAGGGTTAATTGCAGATTGACACCTGTGTACTATTGCCCAAATGCGGATAGACCATGTAGTTCTATCATCGAGGATAGATCCCCTGCACTGTCGCCCAATTGTGGATAGACCATTTAAAAGTGAACTTTTTTACTCTTTTACCCTCACGTGGTCTATTTGTCAAAAAATAATTTTCTCTTTCTCGAGGATGAAAGAGTCAAAAAAATTCACTCAGGAGTCTATTGCAATAATAAAATGAAAGGGCCTCAAATGCGGATAGACCATGTAGTTCTATCATTGAGGATAGATCCCCTGCACTGTCGCCCAATTGTGGATAGACCATTTAAAAGTGAACTTTTTTACTCTTTTACCCTCACGTGGTCTATTTGTCAAAAAATAATTTTCTCTTTCTCGGGGATGAAAGAGTCAAAAAAATTCACTCAGGAGTCTATTGCAATAATAAAATGAAAGGGCCTCCATCCGCAATTGCAGGTAGTACAGAGAGTCTATCCAAAATTAACCCTTAATAATAAATTAATATAGTAAGGGGAGGCCCTGCGAGGTGGGGAATTATTTTGATAGCTGAAGAAGTTGCTTACCCACTCCAATTTTGGCAAACTTGGTAGCAAAAACCTGCCATTGGATTGCATGGAGGGAAATATCAATTTAAGAGTTTAACTAGTATATAATCAAACTAGACTTACAACTCAGTACGTAAAAGAAACCTGACCTTGAAACCAGTGTCACCTGGGTTGAAATAGAACTTCTCTTGATATCCTGGAACAAAAGTCATAAATCACTCATGAAACTAATCGACCATGTGAAAGTCATAAACAATATATCAATAAGCGTAGTGTATCAGAAGATTCTAACAGTACTTGCCTGGCCCATCTGGAATATGAGATTTCCGATAAAGTCCAAGATCACTTCCATCAGCATCAATAATGGCTATAGAATTGTAGTGAGCATTATTTGCTTCTTCGAAGAAACTCACAGGTATTACCACACCCAACCCCTTGGCAAGTTCCTGCATCCTGAATGCAACATGCAATATAAGAGATATTAGCAAGTTGCTATAAGTTGACATTGATTTATTTTGTTGATGTATAACGGCAAAAGAAATATGAACTTCAGTATGCCATCATGTTACCAACCTCAAAATTGTTGGGTGTCCTTTGTATGGCTTGGCTCGTTTAAAGAACTCCTCCCTTTGAGCTTGACAGAAGTAATAGCCTTCGAATAATTCCTTTTTTATAAAAAAAACATAACCAACAAACACATAATGTTAAGAACAGGAGGTACGAACCGCTACCTGGATTTTTTGCGAATACAGTAATACACTACATTTAAAGTTCAGAAATCTCTCAAGCAGCATAATATCCGTATTTCGGGAAGCGTACCTGAATGAGAATAATATTCGCACCCTTCTCATGTGCTGCTCTAACCAACCTGCATACATGTGAGCTTATGATCATTGCACAGGCACATAGAATTTGGGTAATGGAGAAGGAACAAGTATGAAGATCTCTGCTAATATGTCATCAATGTGTGTGTGGCCAACTTAGTTATGTGTATGTGATCAATTTGGACGATCGCTTCTGTTCGTACTGATAGACATGCCTTGAAAGGTATATAAACAAAAATCATGCATACTGAGCATATATTACCCATGGTAAATTGGTTGCAAAATTAACACTTTCCAACAATACAACTAAAGAGGTTTTTTGATGCATCAGTTAGATCTATTGAGATATCAGTAACCTTGATGCTTATTTTTCAAAAAAAAAAAAAATGTTTCTGCTGAAAATTAAACGGGAAAAGGTGTTAGAAAGTGCACTACTTCAGTGGAAGTCCATGCCCCCAATCTCCGATGAAACAACTAGTGAAATCCTATAGGAAAGTTCCCTCCTTTTGCTTATTTTTCATACAATACACTGATTTGGCGATTACCCATTTGGCCATTTTAGTCCAACAAATCCTCAAACCCCAAAAAATTGCTGTAAAAACGATTCAAGAATCTCAGAGCGAGTTTTTCTAGGTTAACAATACACATCTCAAAAACTTAGTGAAGGAAGAGAGATCAAAAGATTGAACCTTTCGGCAGTGTCAACGTTTTCAGAGACGGAATCGGAGCAAGCAAACTGGAGAGCGGCAACCACTACTTTCCTCTCGCCCTCCATCTCTCTCTCTCTCTCTCTCTCTTTCTCAATAATCAGGAAGAATATATTATTATTTTCCTTCTGTTATATATTTTTGGGTTATTTGCATACGTACCCCCTTACATGGGTATTTGCAAAAGCACTCCTAAATTGCAAAACTATCCTTCAATCATCCATTTTGTGAAAAAAATACCTTTAAAATTTTGATGCTAAAATTCTGTTGATAAATCATTATATTTAGAAGGTATTTTTGTAAATACCCATGATGGTTTAAGGGGCATATATATGCTAGCTAGCTAGATTCAAAGAATTTTGCTGAACCTGCATGCATCCTTTCTAGCTTTGGGTCGCGTTCTGTTATCGAGCTCCAGCTCAACAAGCGAAGTTTGTCGGAGGTCTAGGGGATCGGGTTCGGGTCAGGCCAGTCTCGTCTCTGCTTAGTTGGGAACTAATAATATAAAAAGAATTGGGGATATAAATTAGGAATAGGCTAAATGGAATTTAAATACCCCAAAGTTTCGCCCTTTTTGACGCTTATATACCTTCAAGTGTGTTTTTGGTAAATAAATATTATAAGTTGTTTAAAATTTGGCATGTTAATACCCTCAATACCCTCAGTTATGCAAACATAAGAAATTTTCATCTGAATATTCTCATATGGCACTAACATGTTAATTTTATAAATTTCTAACTACTAATATTGTTAAATTTATTATTAAATATATCCCAACTTTATTTTAAAGTAGAATTAAGATAGGTTTTAAAAAATTGATAGATTTTATAGCAAAGCTAACAAATATTACTAGTTAAAAAGCTCTAAAATTAGCATGTATAGCATGTAAGTATCATGGAGAAATATTCGGATAAAATTTTTTACGTTTGCATGATCGAGAGTGCTAACGTGCCTATTTTAAACAACTTGTGGTATTTATTTGCCATAGAAACAACTCATGGTATATAAGTACCAGAAGGAGGAAACTTTGTGGTATTTAAGTCACATTTAGCCTTAGAAAAATAAAAATAAAGATTTTGGAGTTTAATACAAAATTTGAAAGGAACTTAGAATCTAAGTCGATATATTTATTTATACTGAATAAAAGTAAAAAAAATTAACAGAGTATTAGTAACGTTAGATCTAGGAAGTGGTCAAATTATGTGACAATTATAGTTAGTTTGAGGCTGTGGAGCATCAAATAATTATAGAAAGATTGAGAGGAAATAAATCAAAAGGAAAAAAAATATTCGAAAATAAAATGTGGGGTAATAATACAGGCATCTACCTACACGTCCTTATTCTAAATTTTCACAGATCCTAAAATACTTTCGATTTTTCACACAAAAACCTCTCTTTCTCCTTCCCCTTTCTTCTTCAAAAACACCCCTTCTAAAATTTTAAGAAAATGGAGGGATGCTTTTTTCCAATTTCTTTTGCATTTTCCATAGTTTTATGGGCCCTTTTTTCTTCTTCTTATTGTTTTCAAACGGTTAATGGAATTAGATTTGTTATAGATCGTGAAGAATGCTTCGCCCATTCAGTTCCTGACGACGGCGACAACGTGCACGTGTCTTTTGTTGTGATCAAAACGGACTCTCCGTGGAGTTCTAGTCAAGATGGTGTCGATCTTATGGTACGTTATTTTCTTTATAATTATGAAAATTTTGTTGTTTTTTATTTGATATTGCATAATATATTCGTTCATCAAGCAACCGGGCAATATGACGATGAAATTTATTAGTTAGGGAAGAGATTATACGTCAAGAAGGGAATATAGGAACAAGTACGGTCCAACCGAGTTAGTAAGCTGCCTATGAATAATAGGCCAATGTCTGAGGTTCGACTTTCTTATTGAGCGTACACAACAAATTAATTTACTGGAATACCGAGGTCATGCATTTAGAAGGGGGTTCTTTTAGTCACATTCGAGGATTTGATACCCATGGTCTGAAGAATCGTGGGGAAGTTCCCTCACAAAAAGTAAGTACAGTAAACAGATAAAAAGAAGGAACGATAAAAAATAGATAAAAAGAAGGATTGGAAAATAAAACTGACCAGGTTTCTGAATCAAGGTATCACGCCACTTTGAATCAGTTGTCTATTCTGATGGCACGTAAAGTTGTCAATATACCAAAGTCCAAAACCAAGATCGTACATGACTGATTTTTCCTGCATGGACATGAACTATCTTGTCCTGTGTACTTTTTCATCGATCTTACAAACATGTTTATCGTTTTTACATTTTCCCAATTTTCTTGTCTCAAAGCAGCAGTAAAGTACTGTACGCTCTATTTTCTGTTTGATCCATATGCAAGAAATTTCTGACTCACAAGCTTTAGGATAAGAATCATGTGCTTCTTCGTGAGCAAGACCTGTTATGTTACACTTATTTGGGATACCCTATATGTATACATATTGAACCTTACCATCACTAACTTTGCGAATTATCTGAATTCACAGGTGAAAGGTCCATCTGGTGATCAGATTGTTGATCTCCAAGATAAGTCGAACGAGAAATTTGAATTTGTCGCTCACAAAAAGGGATTTCACCGTTTTTGTTTCACCAATAAGTCCCCTTATCATGAAACCGTCGATTTTGACGTACACGTTGGCCATTTTTTTCACTTTGATGATCACGCAAAAGATGGTAAATTAAACCTCATCATTTTCTCACTTTTATTTACAAACCTGATATCCAAGGTTTTTTTGTGATGTAATTTTGAATTGCAGAGCATTTGTACCCTTTATTGGAACAAATTTCAAGGCTGGAAGAAGCCCTTTACAGCATACAATTTGAGCAGCACTGGCTTGAAGCCCAGACTGATCGCCAAGCATTAGGTACTTTCATTTTGTTCATATATTCGGCTTATCAGTCTCTATTTGTTTGCCGATTGAAAGTTTGATGATGAAAAGACGAGAGTCACCACGAGTTAACAACAGCAGAAGCAACTCGACGAGTTTTACGTCATTAAATATAAGAATTAGCAAACATAATCATCATGTCTAATTATGCTCATCAGAGCTGCCTTAGTTGATGAGCAGGTATCTACAGAACTGATTTGTTTCGGTAACAGTCTGGAATATTTGTAACGGATGATACTTGCTTTGAATCTTGGAGTCTGCAAATTTATATATGCCACATTTAGTAGATAGTGTACATCGATGAATCGCGTCTTAAGAGAGATGAATTTGCCAAATTGTCGAGACTGGCACAAATATATACAAGCTTTGACTGCGTTTGGGTTTATATGTGACTGAGGGACAGTTAAGTTGAAATGTTCTCATTGATTAGTTTAGTTCGTATAGTTTAGCTTATCTCACACAAAGAAAACAGCTAATTAAAAGATGCTGATGATGAAACTGGTCATTAAGTTTTTTCATCTGAACGTAAGTTATCTATACGAGCAGCTTGTAGCATTTGACACAGATGGTACGCATGAAAACTTTATTTCATTTCAAGCTTCATTTGTACCCACTGCTCAGTTATGAGAACTAAACACAATCGTGCAACGATGTTCCTGCAGTGAACGAAGCGATGAGCAGAAGGGCAATTCACAAGGCGACCTTTGAGTTTGTTGCGCTAATTGGGGCCAGCGTGCTCCAGGTCTACCTCCTGCGTCGCCTGTTTGAGCGAAAGCTTGGCACCTCAAGGGTTTAGATTTTATCAGCATTAGCTAACACTTGTCATTTACTAGTAGCTCGTTAGGTTGAGTTAATGTGAGTTTTAGGGACTAGTTAGCATCCCTGCATCTCAAAATGCTAAGGTTTTATGTGCACGGGTTGCAGCTAGCTTGGTATTCATTCAACGCAGTGCTTTCTTAAAAGTGGAATTAGATCTTTTGCTGTGTATTTGCTTTGTGCCTCAAAGACTGACCATTATTATAATTTTTTTTAAAGACTCTTCTCCGTCGTGATTTCTTCCTTCTCTCTCACAACTTTTGTTGACTGCTTTTGGGCAATTTATTCCTCTTTTCGTTTCTCTTTTGTGATGGATTTGCTGGTCAAGGCCAAATCAAAGTTTAGCCAAACAAAATCCATTGACAAGACCAAAGAACCACTTCAAGTCAAGTCATCCTGTGCATTCGGTGATTATGAAAATGAATCCTCAACAGTTTAGCTGCAGCAAAGAAACCTGTTTCCTTTTATTAGTGACCACAAGCTCCCCTGTTTTCCTCTTGCAGGCTTCTACGCGTGCGACTTTAAAGACCACCATAACGCGAGACGTATCGATAATTTTTGAAATATTCATGACTGACACAAGAATGACCTTCTTAGCATTAGCTTGTTAAACAGTTAGCTGCATTGGATCAGCCGTAACTTCAGTCATCAGCATATCACTGGAATTGAACCATATAATTAACAAATAGTTTGGGTGACTATTCATTTATATTCGATTGAGTAGTTCATTTAACACTAAACAAATGATTTTTAATATTTGAATTCATTGACGAATACAATTTAACAAAATATATATTCAATTCGTTCGCTTATCAAATATTCATTTGAATTTGATCATTGATAACTTGTATAATTACACACCTAATGTTATGTTCTAAACCCACTTATCGTTTCCACTTAATACTAATTTTGAGACTTAAATAATCTCAAATTCGTTTCCTAATGAATTATTTGAATTTAATATATATACATCATAATTATTAAGGAATAATTTTTATTTATAAATTTAAACATAGTTTCAAAATCAAAGTTTTTAGCGGAATGAATATACTTTGATATATTCATGGATATTTATCAAAAACAGAGTATATGAGTTCGAATTCAAAAAATTTCCAAATATATTCGGGTTCAAATTCAATAATTTTATAAATACGAACATCTTAGTAATCGATTTGATTCGATTGTTTTACCACCCCTAAGCATTTGACACCAGCAACAGAAAAACAGGATTTTACATGTGCGTCTGCTATCTACATCTCTCTTCTACTATCTCAAAGCATTGAAACCATCTCTTTCCCGGCAAATGAAGTGTGTGGCTGTAAAAAATATTTACACATCAAGGTATATTTCATCTCAAAAAAATACATCCTCGGCCAGCATCAACATCAGGAAAAATCAGCAAAAGTAAACAGTTGGAAAATAGAAAATCCATGAACGAAACAAATAATATAAGACTTAAGGTAACATTATCCATATACACACGAACAGATACATGGAGATAATCCTTGCTCACCGATAACAATCACTCTATCGTCCCACTCAGCACAAATTTAAAGCACAAGACATTCTGGCCAAAATGCTTTCACATTTCTCAGAAATCCTACCAACGGCCTACTTGAGCAAACAACAAGCCTCAAGGTCAAGACTGGGTGGGGCTTGGCTGAATGCAGCAAAGCCATTTTTTCTGCACATGTGAATGTTCGAAATAAGGTAACGATAATAAACTTCTTGTACTGAACTTAAATAAGCTCAGCAGAATGAATGACTCAGTTTATAACTAATTAACTATATATGCTGACATATTTAGCTTATCATGTGGATATCATATGTGCCTAAAAGTAAACAGAACAAGGGGACTTACAGTGTTAGGCTTGGTAGCGAGATAACCTTCCTGTTTACCGGTTGGAAGTTCTGCTGGAGAGTCCGAACCTCCAGTACTCCCGCCTGTCTTCTTTTCATCCCTGGCTTTGTTAAAAATTACAGTGAATCCCTCAGCAGAAGCAGGATCATTCACATCCCATTCCCCAAACTTTGGTAATGGACGACCGTTATCCTGCAAGAACCACACAACATGGCTCAGAATAAAGTATACGCATAACGAAGTTTGAAGCTCAGAAATGCATACAGTGCATTGTTAATCAATTAAATTCTCTTTTTGGTGCGAACAGTGAACAAATTGTGATCTCTTGTTTTTGGAGCTAAATTTGAACAGATTATGATTGTTTGGCAGATGCATGTTGAAAATATGAGAAAGATGGTCTTTAAAAGATATTAGAACTAATTGCTATATATATTTTCAGTTTCATAACAAATTGAGCTACAAACAGCAACTTGGACGAAACATCTGAACAGTTATCCAGCAATATCATTACTTCCAGGATGGAATGACTCAAGTCACACCATAGCATTATTCCGTCAAAATGGGGCCACCTATCCCATAAAATTGACCAAAGAGTTACCAACACTAAGTAAATTCGGCTAAATCCTGACGAAACGATGGGAAAGCAGGGGCTCACCTTAAATCCTAGAAGAAGAGGCAACTGGGGCGCATGGAAGATACTAATCACACAAGTTAAACAATTAAACTCATGCAACTAAGGACCATCATTCAGATTACATAAACAAGGAAAAGGCCTGCATAAAAACACATGATGATAACATGCTAAATGAATCATCCAGAGACGCGACATAAGACAAAGAAACAAAAGGTGCATTACTAACATCAATGAAATTATCCTATGCCTAAAAATAAGAATACATCATTTTAGAAGTGTAGTATAAGTTAGCATGACAAATGCTGTCCAATTCATCAATAAATTTCTTATAATTTTCTATTGCAAACCTAACAAGAGTTTCCACATCAAACGTTGCACTTATTGCAAATTCATATTGATGCAGCTATATATCTGATCAAATTATCTACTGCTTTCTGAAACCATTCTAGATATATTAAACAAATTTCACAATGATACCCGAATTTAAAATCTTCTACCAACCTAATAAACGTATCCTCTTCACCTATTTAATTTCACATATCAGCAAATTCCAGTTCACCAACTTCAGAAAAGATTAAAAGAACCATGTCTATCAAATTGAGCAGTTTTAACATATCAGACAAGTTCCTTCAAAGAATGAAAACCAACTGAAAAAGGAAAAGTATTGTATCGGAGAAAAAATGCATGTTAAGAAAAAAAAACTGATGTCAGGTTTAAGAGTCTGATAAAATCTTATCTAGGCATAAATATGATAAAAATAACAGCCTTATCACATGAGTTTTGGTCCATAGCCAAGCCCTTCAGATGGAAAAAGGCTTTGATTCTTATGATGATTTCATATCAGACAATAATATGTCATGGATGCCCCATTTCAAGCTATCCAATAGATGGGAAAAACAGCCTTCTTGAAAAATGCATGCGGCCAGTCAAAATGCCATATCTTAGAGACTATTTTCAATACATAAACTCTTTGGGAACACCGAACCAAAAAAATTACATCAAGTACACAAAACGCAATCCACGCAGGATTTCTATTTTTAAGAATGTAGGATGGAGCAACAACTTCAGCCATAGATTACATTTGATAAATTGTGCACTAATGCAGCAGACACAAAAAAACATAAAGGAGAGTAATTCTTGACAGATATTTACTAAAGAGCTCTAAAAAATGAAAATAAGAAGAACAAATGATACTGAAAGAAAAAGATACAATAATTGATAAATGAATATAAAAATGAAAAGTTGTAAAAATCTGTGGACAATGTTTCATTTATTTTGGGCTTACAATCCAAATTGACAATTGTTTCTACAATCCAAGAAGTACCCTCAATAAAGTTTAGGCATCATGAGAATACAAGGAAATCACACTACTCAATAGTACTTCTCCCATTCAGGATAAACTTATTTTAGCGGCACGTGTAATTTTTTAGGCTGGTGATGCTTTGTTAATTCTCTGTAGTTCTTCGAATCAATAAAGCACAATACTACATTTTTTTCCAACTAGTATTGTATTCCCTCTGCTAGTTGAATCTACATCAATAAGTACCGATACTCACTAAGGGAAAGACAGCAAAATATCAAAACATAAAAATAGAATCTTTACTTATTACCAACACGAAAGAAATGCTATGATTATTTTCGACATGATTTCCCCAAATTCACTTGGCTACTAAATAATCCAAATACAATAAGGTTGAATTCATCTCAGTCACTTAAAAAAATCTCATATTCAAATAGTATACATTTAATGCCATACTAACAACAATATCATATTTCATATAGCGCAGATTTACAGTATGAGATCTGACAAACATTTGTAAAGACGGAAGTACCCAAATAAACAGAAATCGAGCTGCGAACAAAAAAAATAAATGGGCAAAAAGAAAACCCAAAATAATCTAGTGATTTATTCAACTAAGAGAAAGAGTGACCTATATGGAATTGAATTAATGGGATCAAATATAAAATATATCAAAGAACAGCTAAAAATAACTCAAATTTTGATTGAAATTAAAGATTGAGACAAAGGAATTGGATCTTACCGACATGAATTCCCTCTGAAAGAAGGTGACAGCGAATTTGACGAAGAAAAAAAAGAGGAGAGGAGAGAGTGACTGGAATTGGCGACCCAAAAATGAATTTTTATTTGGAAGAGGGCTATTCTCAGAAAAGACCTTGACTTATTGTTTATTTGCAGATAAGTTAAATTTTAAACTACCACCCAACTTTACACTTATACATATCCTCACTCACTTGTTTTTTCCCACACTTATATATAGCTTAAAGTTTTTAAAATTTTCAATTAAATATCTTTAGCTGCGTAAATGCGAAAATTTCTCATATAAAAACTCCCATGTAAAGTTATATGTTAATTTTAGAACTTTTTAATATTTTTTTGGTTAAATTTACTATTAAAACTGCAGTAGTTTTATTTTAAAATTACTCTAATCTTGTTTTAAAACTATGGTGGTGTTAGATACTTAACAATGGAGTTTTGGATAGGTTATAGAATGTTTAGGGTCTCTCAATCTTCTTTGGTGGCTGATTATTGAACAGAGGACTTGATCTCACACACAAACAATGCGTAAGAGGGTCAGAGTTAAGGTCTCCAAGCATTCCTCCGACAGTCAAGTCGGTATTGATCTTAAGTGGAGGTAATATGAGTATTGTAGGCTTTAGGATAGAAATTGTGTACCTCCATACAATAGGCGATGCGCCTATTTATAGTAGAATCTAAAGGGTATTTGTGTAATTTTGGCTGAGTCCATGCAATTGGCTTAGTCAGCAGGTATTTATAGCTATCGGTATCAGATGATCCGAGTCATTCTCATATTTATTGTGGCGGCGACAAAGGGGCTGCGGTGCCAGCGCGCTCTGATGAGTCATTATAGCTCTAAGGGAGATGTAACTATGGTTTTGACTTTGCATTTAATGTTATAGTGGTTGGCTGTCGGCGAGGGGTTCGAGAAAGACCACCTTTTGTCTTAGCTTTTTGAGGAGGTCAAGAAAATATGCCTTTCGATTCGGCCACTCGGATGAGAGGGCTTTTCAACTCGGCCCAATAAATGATAATGCATGGAGTTGGTTTTAGTAGCAGGGTTCGAGTGAGGACGCCTTTCGACTCGTCCATATAGGAAGAGACCGAGTGATGCGTCCTTCGGCTTGACCTTTATGGAGTCGGGTCAAATCAGTGTATAGTTAATCTAGGACATGTGTCATCTCCTAGGATGAGATTAACACTTACTCATTTCTGTGATACAACACTAGCCCTTTCGCTCGAACTAGGGTGACAGAGTCCGAGTGTAGGATTCTTGTTGTGCGCAGCGAAAATTTCGACAGCACCTCGGCACAACTCGGTGTAACAAGAGAGTAAGATCACAATAGGAATTCCCGTTTCACCAAAAAAACAAGAACCAAAAGCAAAATATCTTAACAAAGTAGGATATCAACTCTTCCTCTCATCAGTTCTAGGACTGACCTGTCGAGGGAACCTAAATAAGTTACTATAAATCACACAAACAGTGAGACAAACGAATTTTACGTAGTTCGGTAAATTACCTACGTCCACGGGGTAAGGAGAGGGGAGATCTACTATTAGAGAGAGAATACAAATAGGGTTTACAATCACAGAACTTAAACCCTCAAACAAGCTCTCAAATCTCACACAAAAGGGATGCCAAAAACCCTCTCAAAGTCAGCACAAAGACTGCACAGAGATCCATGCTCAAAGTCGGCGGCTCCTCTGCTTTTTCACCCCTGCTCGTACTTGTACGAAGCCCTTGCACGACACCCAATCAAACGCAGTTTTTCCCCTCTGCCTACTCTCTTTAACCTAGGGAATCTTTCCTATTTATAGTTGCAAAAACTAAAAAAGTTCAGGCCCAAATAAACAATTTACCCGATTGACTGCTGCTTCTCTCTCACAATCACGTGGGTGTGGCTTTTGGTTGAGTTGTTTCACACACGTGAGTGGGTAGGCCCCCACGTCCGCTCATAATTCTCCACCTCGATGAAGTTTTTTCAAAACTAAGTCGACATCAAAGCAGCCAAATGTCCCACTTATTGCGTCCAGTACGAAGTGGAGTAAATTCCATGACAACGGACTTAATCCACAACAAGTCGGGAACCCGAACGAGAGTCCAAACAATCTCCCCCCATCAAAATCAACTAATCCAAATCGGCTGCATCGTAAAGACTGCCTACGTATCCTCTTACCCAAGGAATCAAGCCTCACGTAGTTCACCCAAATAGTCGTCAACGGCCTTAATAATCACAAATGTGTAACAAGTCTTTACAATGATCAAACTTGTTGCTCGGAATCACCTTTGTGAGCATATCCGTCGGATTATCCTTCGTGTGGACCTTCATAATCTCCATATCGCCATCTTCAAGAACATCACGAATGAAGTGATAACGAACGTCAATGTGTTTCGTCCTCGCATGAAAAATCTGATTCTTCATCAAATAGATAGCACTCATGCTATCACAATAAATAGTGACGGACCACTACGATATACCAAGTTTCTCTAAAAGTCCTCGAAGCCAAATCGTCTCCTTCACAGCCTCCGTAATTGTCATATACTCTGCCTCCGTCGTAGACAAAGCCACCGTAGATTGTTGTTTGTGGGAAAATTTGTACTAAAAAGACAATGAAAGAAAATTGACTTGTATTCTCTCAAAATCAATTACAATTTGGATTCCGATTACAAAAGAGAGGAGAATGATCCGGATTCTCCCCTTTGTTTAAATCTGGGTTCTTCACGGTGGCGATGGAGTGCCTCCCTCGAATGCTCGCGTCGAGTTTGCTCTCCGTTGACGATCCGACGTTTTGATTCACTGGAACATGATCTTCTCCTCACGATTTGACGTTGTGGAGAACTTGCGTGGCAAGTTTTAGAACTCTATGAAAGAGTTGATTTAACCGAAAGTCGGTTATAAGCCAAGGATGAAGAAGATCTTGTTGCCGATCTCCAAAGCTCCAACCGAAGGATGAAGGATCATCTTTTCGCTGCCAAGAAGTTCCAACTGACCGAACCCTGAACTGAATTGATTTTTAGTTATTTATAGGGAATTAAGGGGTGTAATCACCTCCTTAATTCGCTCCTAAATGAGGGGTTTAGTTGCCTCATTAATCGGTTGTAACAACCCACTAAAACCACTCCCCAGATCGTGGGTGATCAGCGGTCTTTTCGTAACCGTATGGGTTGTGTTTGAATGAGTCAAGAGCTTGACCTGCGTTCTGGCATGGATTCTGTGTTTGAACACAGTATTTGGAAGTGCATTCTGCAGCATTGTGAAGTTGCGTTGTGCAGCGATTTGGAGCTGCGTTCTGCGGCTGATTGGAGCTGCGTTTGAGCAACTGTTTGAACTGCGTCTGACAACGATTGGAGTTGCGTCTGGCAGCGGATTAGAGTTGCGTCTGGCAGCGGATTGGAGCTGCGTTCTGCGGTTGATTGTTGAAGCTGCGGTCAGCGGCTGGTTGTTGAAGCTGCGTTCAGCGGCTGATTGGTGAAGCTGCGTTCAGCGGCTGATTGGAGCTGCGTTTGGCAGCGATTGGAGCTGTGTTTTAGCTGTGCTTGGCAGCGATTGGAGCTGTGTTTTGGCTGCGTTCGTGGCTATGAACATGGTACGTCTTGATGCTGGTACGCGAGGAGGACTCCCACGTCTTGGTTTGAAGAGACCGTCGATTTGTAGTCTTCTGTCAGAGCGTTGCAAAGATCGTCGTTTTGTAATCTTTGCTTTAGCCCTTTGATATGTGAGAGTCGTCAGATTGTAACTCTCGATGTTGATTGTGAAGGCTTCTGGAAGTCGTCAGAGTGTAACTTCCATCATTGGTGTTTTGATGGGGATCAACTATCTATTGTGATTTTTTGACAGCCTACAACTGTAAGGTGCATCTCTAACATACCGGCACACGGGTCAAAGTGAACACATACACCATCGTAGACCGGCGCTTATCCAAATCCCCGCATAATCCGAATCAATGTAGCCAATACATAATTGCCCACCTGTAGTGTCCTGCTCATAAATCAAACCAACATTGAGCGTACCTCGAATGTACCTCAAAATCCATCCCACGACGTCCCAATGACCCACTCCTGGATCGTATATGTATATCGAAACCATGCTCACCGCCTGTGATAAATTTGGTCTCGTACATACCATCGCGTACATCAAGCTCTCAACCGCGCTCGCATATGGAGTCTTCGACATCAACTCTCGATCTTTAACTGTCTTCGGTGAAAGATCAGCTGAAAGCTTCAAATAGGCTCCCAATGGTACTATTGTGAGCGGACATGGGGGCCCACCCACTCAGTGGGTGAAACAACTTAACCCAAAGCCACACCCACGTGATTGTGAGAGAGCAACAGCAGTTAATTGGGTAAATTATTTATTTGGGTCTAGACTTTTTCGGTTTCTGCAACTATAAATAGGAAAGATTCCCTAGGTTAAAGAGAGCAGGCAGAGGGGGGAAATTGTGTTTGATTGGGCGGCGTGCAAGGGCTTCGTGCAAGTACGCGCAAGGGCGAAAAAGTAGAGGAGCCGCCGACTTTGAGCATGGATCTCTATGCAGTCTTTGTGCTGACTTTGAGAGGGTTTTTAGCATCCCTTTAATTTTGTGTGAGATTTGAGAGCTTGTTTGAGGGTTTAAGTTGTGTGACTGTAAACCCTATTTGTATTCTGAGGCATATTTATGAGGGGTCATCGATGGTTTGCTATTGATGATACATTCTAACGTCAGAGGAGATCGTTCACCATCGTTCTTTGATTTCTAAGAAGGGATTGCACGACGGTAAAAAAGAGTAGTGCTTTAGTTATTGAGCGGTCGCCTCGAATTCCGAAATCCTTTTCGACCGGTAAGATCTCACCAAGTGTCCTCCTCTTTGCCTATATATACACTGGATCTTTCGAGAGGTCAGTTTTACTTGCTTCAAAACCTTAGAATTTTCTCTACAATCGTGCGATTTCTGATCATCTTTGAAGTTCTCTCCGACAATCTTATAGAAATGGCATCTTTTGCTCTGGTTGTCACTGCTCAGAATGAGGCTCGGACAAATTTGCTTTGGAAGTTCCATTCTAAGGTGCACTCGATGATGCTGAATACTTGCTATGATCGGATTGACATTCCTAGGGTGTTTAAGCTATCAGTGCTAGAGAAGGCCTAATTTGTGTATGATCATAGCGGTAACATCGTTCCAGTGTATATTAAGCACTTAGAGTACGGTTTGCACCTTTCGCTCCACCCTTTCCTTCGCCATATGTTCGAATCTTTGGGGCTCTTGCCTTCTGAGATCAAGCCGAACTCTGTAGCCACACTGGTTGGTTCGTCATTATCTATCATCGAGTGGGTGTTGAGCCGACTCTAGAAATTTTCAGTCATCTGATCAGCGTCAAGGTTGGCAAGAATGAGAGCCACTTCTATTTTCAAAAACCTAGGTGGATTTAACGTGGTCTTGAACCCTCCTACATCGAACAAGTAATGGAAGGAGAATATCATATGGTTATTCGGAGTGGATGCGGTTCTGGCCTCTTCAGCTTGGTCAGAGATCAAGAAATTGTAGGGATCCTATCAGAACCATGTTTATATGAGTGTGATGTTCTATATTATAAATAGAAGAGTTGTAATTCTCAAACTAAGACGGAGTTTGCTAATACATTTTTTAGAGTGCTTTTGCTTATTTTTTTTTCAAGAAGCAGATAATAATGGTGCTTGGTGAATTTTTTTGACATGCTTATTGAAACTGCTTCCACTTTTAAGAGGGTGCTTTTAGTAGCAATACGAGGATGGTTTTAAAAACACCTTTTGCTTTTTTTAGTTTATATATCATATACATCTTTTATCTTTTAATACTAATCATTCAGCAAAGTTCTACCAAACATCCTAATTGTTTTTAAGTAGTTTTTGATATTTGATTATCAAACAACTATTTTTAGAAGCTTATGTAAGTTGCTTCCGTAAGTTATTTTTTAAGCAATTTAGTATAAGCTCAAGCAATACCAAGCTGACCCTAACTCTCTAACCACCACTCATGAATGATATAAATCATCTTTTTCTAGGGGATGTTTTGATAGAATCGTTACTCACTTTAAAATAGCTTTTTAATAGGTTTGACAATAAAGTTGATAAATACTAAGAGTTGAAATGTGCAAAAACTAGCATGTAGCATCACATGAGAACTCTCAAGTAGAAATTCTATTGTTTGTGTGACTGAGGATGCTAAAATGCAAATTACAAAACGTAAGGGTATATGAGTGTTGTTAAAAACAATTGGCGTATATAAATGCGAAGTAGGAGAAATTACAGGGTAGTTAAGTGCAATTAAGCCTTTTTTTTTCCAGTCTGCTAGACCGAGGACTTTATGGGATGAATTGACCACGACTCGATAGACTTTAAACAATCAAAGATTCGGATCAAACTATAATTTAATACGTGCATCATGGATCCATTGAACGTGACCAAGTCTTTCCTTCTTTCCTTTATTATTTTTATAACTGATGTCTAGTTTTGAAGTTAAAATATTTTATAGTTCGAATTCTTTAATTTATCATTGAATTGAGAAAAATTCTCTATAGAAAAAATTAAAACATTCAAATGCAAATGATTTGATGTTCTAAGTTCTAATTTAGAAATGTAAAATTTGGGGTTTAATATACAAGTAATAAGTATTTGGGGACTAAATATCACAAGCTCGTATAAAATTAATTAACTAAGAAGGGGTTTGTCATTTTTTCAGTAGAAACGGAATTAAAACAGGCAATGCAACAAAACAGAGAATAGACAAAGAAGAGAGAAGCAGTTACTCCTAACCGATTGCCATTACAAATACTAGCCGGAGAGTTGTCGAGGATTTGCACAGGCACCAAGGACTCCACTCCAATGTTTGCGAGGGCATTATCCCCCGCAGTTGTCGTCACAAACTTTGGTCTGTTTGGATGGAGGGTAGAGAAGGGAAGGGGAAGGAAATTTTTAGTTTACCTTTGTTTGGGAGTTCCATTTAAAAGAGTAGAGAAGAGGAATGAGAGGGAAAATTGAACTAAAATCTTACCCCCCCAAACCAAATTTGGGAGGTAAAGAAGGAGAAGGGAATGAAGGGAAAAAAATTTCCCTTAGTCATCTCCCAAACACACCATATAAGTATGCACAAGCTTGTAGTCCGAATCTCGTGCTACAAGCTCGCGACAATCTTCAACTAAATGAGGAGGGTATTTTTCTATGTAGCTTTAAATTTTCATATCCCATGCAGGTGAGAGTCCGCATCTAATTGCTTTAAACTTTGCAACAAGGTTACCATACACTCCAGATTTAATGTGAACCCAACAAGCCATAAACCACCTGAATCTCGAACAAGGCCTCTTGCGCCTGCTCGACCCGGATTATTCTTTGAAGCTCCATCCATGTTCAAGTTAACCCAACCATGAGGGGTTTTTTACCCAATAAATATGTCTTTCCACCTTTAAAACAGAATGAGAACGGGTGCTATTAAAAGCTTGCGCCACACTCCTCGCATACAAATACAACAGCCTCTAGGGAGTACAACAGGTCTTCAGCTCCACTGTCCTCAATGTTTGTGCACCGCCAGGAATAAAAAAAAAAGACTATTTTTGAAAAATAATAAGCAAAACCGACCCTTCTAAGAAAATATTAGCAAAATCGACATTTTTTGGCTAAGTGGTCAAAAAAGGTCGATTTTGTAAAATAATGACTTTAAAATACACGGGATTGATAGTCCCGTGTAATTAGTAGTCACTAATTACGGTTACTCTGAAATGGCTGTCTCGTGTACTTGTGCTGAAATGCTTAAAATTTAATCAACGAGAACTAAATACATGGGACTACCAGCCCCGTGTATTTTAAAGCTGAATTTTTGCAAAATCGATCCCTTTTTAAAAAGAGGTTAATTTTACTAATAATTTTACAAAACCATCGATTTTACTAACTACTTTTCAAAAAGAGTCTTTAAAATAAAATAAAAACAAAGAGTTCTCCTCCAAATAAACAACGGAGCTGCACTGAATACAATATTCCAGCTGGTGTTCCAGCCTTGCAGCGCCTCATCTTCCTTCAGGTTGGTATGAAGCCGGTCATCAAAGTCGCTATCAGAGGCTGTGTGTTCTGAAGGTTCTATTAGGCCCCGTTTGGTTGCAAAAGAGAGAGGCTGAAAGCCTGACAAAAGCTGACAAAAATGTCAGCTTTGACAAAAATGTCAGCTTTAAGCCAAAATCACCTCTTAAAAAGGTGATTTTGGTTTAGAGCTGACAAAAATGTTAGCTTTTATCAGAGATTCAGCCTCTCTAGTTGCAACCAAACGGGCCCTTAGCGCATTCGTCATCAATTGCTCTTGTTGAACAAGAAGCCAAAGGAAAGCGACCCCCTTCTTCAGGACACCTCGATTTCCGAACGAAGGCATATACTTCCATACTTCAACATGCTCTAAAATTTGCACATCATAACATGATTTTGTGGAGAATTGGCTATTAGATGTTGCTGACCAAATCAGTTTATCAGGCTTATACAATTAACTGAAGCAAGATTGAAATTTGGGTATCAAAATGCTAAAAGGATGATTTAAAGTGCCAAAGTGGAAATAAGCTACAATAAAATCAAGTCGGGTTTTTTAGATAATTACTCCCTTAAATCTTCAATAACTCGATATTAGCCGCTCAAATCTTTGAAATTACATATTTGTCCCTCAAATCTTATTGTGGCATACAAGTTGATCTTTCCGTTAGATTTCCAAATAAAATTTTAAACCATATTTTGGTTAACTCCTGACAAACATATGCACAATTATAAAATGATTTACATTTTTTAGTTGAAATCAACTAATTTGATCATATGGCACTAGTTTTATAGTTATTTAGTTAATGCAAGGACTTGCAACTTTTGTTGCGGCCAAATTAACCCCAACAAATGTTGCAATTTTTCTCCCAAAAATGTAATCCTATTTGTATTTTCTAACTGACTTATTGCTTATCAAACAATGAAAATAGAAATATTGTTACATTATTTGCTGTTGCAGTTCTATTTCCTATCATACAAACAGCCCCAATGTGAGCCAACTAGATTGACTTAGAAGTAATTTCAAAGCTTTGTGAGGCGATAATGTAATTATTGAAGATTTGAGGGAGTAATATCTAAAAACCCCAATAAAAGTCCCATAAACCCTTCTCCATTGTTAAAAGAAGAAATTTTCTAAACAAACCCATTCATAACTTTTTTCTAAAAATAAACCCTCTTGAGTTTTTTTTACAAAAATCTACCCATTTTTTCTTAATTCGGTGTTTAAATAGTCGGAGTTGCCAACCCTAACTATTTAGTGCTTAGAATGTTAAGGTTTAGGGTTATAATTAGGGGTTTACAACCTCTTAAATAGTCGGGGTTGACAATCCTGACTATTTAGAAACCAGATTAAGATAAAATGAGTCTATTTTTGTAAATAAAACTAAATGAGGTCCATTTTTAGAGAAAAAAAAATAAATGGGTTTATTTAGAAAATTTCTTCTTGTTAAAACCCCTTTCTTTTTTCCCTTCGCCCCTCTCCCCGCGCTCCGAACGGAATGAAGCGGCGGAAATGAGGAAGCCATGGCTTTTCCAAACCCTAACCCTAACCCTAGCTCGCCCCTTCTCATCATCGGCCCCCTCTACCAACGTCGCCGTGAAAAAGGTGACCAAATCCAACTTCGAATCCTCTCTCTCCGATCTCCGAGCTCGAATCAAGGAATGCGACTTCGTGGCCGTCGATCTAGAGATGACCGGAGTAACGAGCGCGCCATGGCGGGAGTCTTTCGAGTTCGATCGGTCCGACGTTAGGTATTTGAAGGTGAAAGATTCGGTCGAAAAGTTCGCCATCGTCCAGGTTGGGGTTTGTCCCTTTCGGTGGGATTCAGCCAAGGGATCGTTCGTCTCTCATCCGTGAGTTTTCCTGATTTCTCTGGTTTTATTTTGGTTGTAAGTGTTTGCTGATTGTAAAAAGTGTCTTTTTTTAATTATGTTTTACTAGGGTTTTAGCTTTGTTTCCCTAAAAAAAATCACATTTTGTGAAAGATATAATTTTTTTTTGGTTATTGCTGTAGTTTCGGGAAAAGATTTTTTGACTTCTGTACATTTGCAATCAAGGAAACTATAAAGCAGTGAAAATACAGCTGAACTGTCAGCCGAAGGCATGCCGTCTTCATGTTCATAGTTTGTTTCCATATACTAACTGTCAGACTGTATTCATACACAAATTTAAGCAATTTAGATAAGCTGACTACATTAAACAGAAAGCATTCAAGATATTGAGATAACTCTAAATTGCAAGTCTATAAGCACCTGATTGACATGTGCAAATGGCATTGTCATAGTTGATGAATCCTAAGGATGAAAAGTTACGAAGAATATGATGGTTGTTATATTCTTGGAGAGGGCCTTTAACAAAGTTGAATGGTGAAAAGGCATATTATGTTACTCTTGCTACCACTTCACTATTTTGATCCAGATGTTTACTCTTCACTTGTATACAGCATATGTTTCTGGAAGATATGCTTATCAAAATCTTGCTTGCTTGTGTTAACTGTCATATAAAAGTAAGAACTTTGGATATCATTGCAGATTGGTATTAAAAAAAAACTTCATATCATCAAACTGATCCTTTACTGTTTATGAGAATTATCTGACAATGGCATGCGGAGAAGTCAGATATTGTTCACACATTGTCAGATATGATTGTATCATATTTCTTTTTGCAGGCATAATTTTTATGTTTTTCCTCGGAAAGAGCTTCAAAGTAAGGATTCCGCATATGAATTTCTTTGTCAGACGACTTCAATGAATTTTCTGGCTAGACACCAATTTGATTTTAATGCATGGATACACGAAGGTGATTACTTATATTTGTGACTTCTTTTTTGGTAAATTTAATTCTTCTCTCTCTCTGCTGCTGCTGCTGCTCTACGTACATGTCTTTTTCTCCGCTTCTGTCTCTTTTTGCTGCTCTACGTACATGTCTTTTTCTCCCCTTCTGTCCCTGGGTGATGTCCATAAGGCATATTAAATATCCTGGTAAATATACCAAAACAGCCAGGCAGAACCAATGGTATAGCAGCTGGATTGTAGCCTCTCTGTGAATCTTAGCCTGGAAAATTTCTTCATTACCCAAGAGTCAAGACATTGTAAAATTTCCCTCTTATATGTTCCTGTATTCACGGCATTTGGTTAATCTCAGGAATATCTTATTTATCCAGAGCACAGGAAGCAGAAGCTCTACAAAAATTATCCTCATCATATGAAGATCGTTTGTCTAATTCTAATCCAGAGGAATGGGTAGAGATACCAACAGGGAGCACATCAGACCTTCTCTTCACCGAGAGAATGAAAATAAGATTCCAAGAATGGCGTGATGGTATAATAAGACATCCCAATGGAGTCTGTCCTTTGGAAGAAAATCCTGATAGCAAGAAATTGCAATTTCAAACAATTTTCTTTAAGATGCGTCCTGCTGTTCAGCTGAATGGATTCAACTCCCACCAACTGAAATTGATTAAACTGGTAATAAGTTTTGTGTTTTACTTTCACTTTTCAATCATTTTTTTACTCTTATAATGTGTAATTCTAATGTAGGAAATGTTCCATCCTTAATGCACTTCTATCTTTTGAAGTACCATCATCAAATGCATAGAACTGTATTCATTTATGGAATCCAATTTAAAGTTTCTTGGTAGCTGAATCGTTCTTTTTTTCTTTTATTACATGTTTATCATTTATTTGCAAGAAATTCTGAGGACAACCTTCATTCAGGATCATGCTTTATGATGATATGTTATGTATCATTTGTCTGCATGTTGCCAAAATCATGATTATGTTTTTGCAAAATTATGATAAATTTGAAACAAACATTTGACCCTAATTAGAAATTTAGATATCATGATATTTTTTATGAGATCATAACTATTAAAGCTGTTACTTTACACGCGAAAAGGGTTTTCTTGATTTGAAATATATGCTGAATGGAGAAAAATCTTGGGATAAATGCTGCAGTTGAAATTTTGGGATAAAGAATATTGTCTTTGTTCTTTATACCAATTTGTTCTATCCAGAAGATTTCTTTGTCTTCTACGACTTTGAAAATTGTTGCTAATAATTTTCTTCTCTTGTATTAAGAGGGTACTTGTGTTGTAGGTACTGAGAAAACACGTCAAGGACCTTGTATATGTGCGTACAGATGATGAAAATAGTTCGCCGCAAAACATTGTTGTGTATGCAGACTCCGAGCAAGATAAATTCTCTCTCATGGTATGAAAGAGAATTATCTTCCCATAACCTTATCAGTGTTGTTCTTATAGTGATCCTAAAATGAACAAAGTGCTGATTTCTTTTATGTTTTTCTATAAACAAAGTTTTTTGAGGAGAATTCCTGATATGTCTGGTAATGGACCAATCATCAGAAGAAATTGGAATTGTTTAATATGGAACTGAAAGATGCCCCCTAGTGCTGGAGTTTAGTGAAGGGAGTTTATTTAGTCTTTTTTAAATCTTTAGGAAATCTAGGCATAACAGTATATCCAATTCTTTTTATGGAGCCTTCTTTTGGTAGACTTGTGTTCTATCTACTGTTGCGCAGGGAATGCAAAAATCCTGCAACTTCACATATTAGAAATATTTGCTGAGATTTCTTTTTTCTGACATAATTATGTCCACCTTTATTTTCAATTGCAGATTATTTCCTGTTATTTTTGAGATCATGTTTTTTAAAACAAAAAAATTCAGTGTTTTAAGCAATCCTCCTAGAAGAGGATCAACTCCAGACCATGACCATACAAGGACATAACTGTAGCTTGTTGGAGTTAAACCGTTAGTTACTAAGAGCTTTGTTTTTTTTTCCCTTCACAGAAAGAGGTCAAGGATGATCATCAGAAAAGCTCAGAAGCAAAAATTGAGTCTTCTGTTGGCTTTCGCCATGTAATTGATATTCTTTCATCTGAGAAAAAATTGATCATCGGTCATAATTGTTTGCTGGGTACGTTCCTTTTGGGATATCTTTTTGACACATGATTTTTTATGCCTATTTAATCGTTTTATTTTATCTAAAACAGATATTGCACATATATGCTGCAAATTTGTTGGACCTCTTCCTTTGTCTATGGGTGATTTTGCATCATTTGTACACAAAGTATTTCCGTACATAGTTGACACCAAGCACCTTATAAGTGCCAGTAATGCAATTCAGTACCTGATGAAGAAAAGCAGCAAGTCATTGTCTTCAGCTTTCTCTCTGTTGTGCCCAAAAATCTCTTCTGCATCTCAAAGTTCTGCTTCCAATTCATATGTCAAAGTTGAGGTTGAAACAAATGAAACATGTGAAACTGGGTATGCTTTAATGCTTTATTTACCTTATATTAATATTTCCAATATGCCTTCTGCGCTTTTGAATATTCTGTGTCATCTCATTCTTGTAGTGTGTTCCTGGTTGTATGATTCGAAGCCACTGAATTTCATTACTTTCGAGTAGTGTTAGAAAGGAAGTAATTATATGGTCAATTATTACATTTAGATTTTAGAAGGCATAAATGGTTTTCTTTTCCTTTGAAAAAATTATCTCACCTGATAACATGGTCATGTATTATATTTAGATTTTAGAAGGCATAAATGGTTTTCCTTTCTTTTGAAAAAATTATCTCACCAACAAAAATATTGTGTTAAAATCTTTTTAAACTTTCTATAAACTGTGCAACACAAGTTGTGAGAGAGGCTGAAAGGAACAAGCGTGTGAGATAGGCTGAAAGGAACAAGTGTTAAAGTTTCTTTGGTGGAGGAAGCTGCATGATTTTCTTCCTTGCTCTTGATCAGTTTACAGAAAGAGAAGCTTCTCAATTGTGGGTTATTTTGAATACAACATTAGATTTTTTGTAAATGGTCAGAAGATGTTCCACAGCAGGTCTAGTGATGAGCATAACATTCTTATGGTTCATGATAATGGGGCTGGGTGATTAGCGGTTATGAGCAAAGAAGCTCTATTTTATCAAAGATAACCTGAGTTCCCTTTTTTATAGATCAACTTGAAAACCGGTAAATATGAACTATTTATATATATATATATATATATATATATATATATATATATATATATATATATATTCTAAAACCCCAACACACCAAGTTTGGGGTGAACCCGTCGTCGTTTGACCCTTCATCCACACGTATCAATTTTAACGGTTTTGAATGAATAGAACTTTTCACATGGCTCGATGGAGGGTCAAACGACGACGGATTCACCCCAAACTTGGTGTGTTGGGGTTTTAGAATATGTAGATCAAGTTCAACGGAACGGATCATCCATAATGTCGCTCAATCATGTGAGTTTAGAGGCGTCAAGGAGGAAATCCCCTCCTATGACAAGGATACTCATTAATCTCTCTCTCTCTATATATATATACATACATATATATATCCCTCATCCTTTTTTGTTTTGATAAATATCTGGACCTTCATTTCATCTCTGGAGTTTTGACATCTCTCTCCTCCGTTTACAAAATGTAAGTAGCTCCTTCGTTGCTATGTGGGTGTTTTTATGTTTCTGAAATTTATTTATTAAGTAAAGAACTTGGATTAATCTTAATAAAATTCCAACTTTATTGCTACTTCATGGAATAGTAGGCATGTGATTTAGGTAAGAAACAAGTGATGTATATATGATTTATACTATCTATTAGAATGTTCTATCCTTGTGTCATTGTCATCTCCTAGCTCTTGACGTTTTCTGTATCTTACAGTCTGTATGATATCATTTTGACATGTATATCCATCTTAGCTTGGATCTTTAGAAGCTAATGGCTAACAGAATGAATACAGTGCGCATGGCAAGCCATTCAATAGAGTGCTTATGGCTTATGGCAAGCCATTAAAGAATATACCCATTAGCATCCAAGACCTTGGTAATAAGTGGCATGTTTTCCTCGGTGCATAGATCTCTTATTTCCTATTTGAAAATATTGAAAGCCGTCCCTGTAGAAGACAACACTCTCTTTACATTTGGCAACTAGTGATTAGTGTCATATCTGTTAATGCACAGCATGGTCTATGCAATAACTCTTTATGAAAACTTGTACATATGGCTAAGAACTTGGTTTTTCTTCAACATTAAGTAGTCATAAGTCTCATAACTGTATCTATGGCTAAAGGACATGGTTTTTTAACTATGCTTTTTTTCTGCACGTGGTTTTAATACAGATTGTCTTGTTGGAACTCGGGTGCAAAGCATGAAGCCGGCTATGATGCATTTATGACTGGATGCGTTTTTGCTCAGGCATGCAGTCTCTTAGGCATCAAATTTGAAACCAACTCACCAACAATTGACTTTACAAGAAATGAGAAGCTCCAGCACCACATCAATCTTCTATATCCTAGCTGGAACAGTGGAACAGTGATTAATCTAAGTACCGGTGTTGAGGCTCCAGAGTTGGGTTATAAGCGTAAATATCCTACAATAGTATTTTCCAACATTGTCCTAGTCTGGGGATTCCTCTCCAAGCTCGCACCGAAGGATTTGAAGGATTGCATCTCTAAAGTGTTTGGTGCTGATTCAGTTACGTCGGTATTTTTCCTGGACTCAACTGCTGCACTTGTCCAGTTCAGCAAAGAGGAATTTGTGAATGATTTCTTGATCTTGAAGGACACCTTGGAAAAAAATGATGATGCAATAGCAGTGTTGCATCCTCTTGCAAAGCTTCTAGAAGGTGGTAACACTCGAGCTGCTGGCTATGAAACTTATAAGGAGATCTGTGGTGCTTCTGCTTCAAAAGTTTTGTTTGCTGATCAAGCTGAAGCAATAGGAATCAGATGGAAGACCAAGATAGACCGTGTTAATGAGGAAGCGAAAGATGTAGATGAGTACTCTGATGTCAAACAGCGCAATGAAAGGAAAACTGATAAAGAAAAAAGCAATCACCAAATATCTTACGACGACGTCTTGAGTTCTTTGCGTGCTTCAAAACCATTGTGTGGGAAACATGTGAAAAACACATAATAAAATTTGTGGGCATGATTATTTCTAAATAGATCGTTTCCTTTTGATAATTAGGTTGTATTAGCATGAAAGAGCTTGCTTTAAAGGTATAAGATGTTTTCCCCAGGGTCCTTTACCGCACTTCTGTAGTCATGCCAGACGCTGCACTTGTTGTACCCTATTTGTAAGTTATGCTGATGAAATTTCTGGTTTAGATGTTGAAATTTTCACTAGTTGTGCTCGATTCATACGCGATTATGCTGATGAAATTTCTGGTTTAGATGTAGAAATTTTCACTAGTTGTGCTCGATTCATACGCGATTATGCTGATGAAATTTCTGGTTTTAGACGATTTTAGAAAGGGGGAAATTACACTAGACCCCCAAGAACTTTCGGTGAAGTAAACCCCAAAACTTCTAAAATCAAACTAAATTCCTGGCAACCATAGGAATTGCAGCAAACTCCTGATAAGTTTTCGCTTTTTGCAGATAATCCCATGACGTAAGTCCACATTTTGCATTGGCGGCACATTTTACATCCTAAATGATTAACATCATCATGGAGTTTAGTGCGGGTTTAGAAGTTTTTGGGAGGTTAATTTACTGCAAAATGTTGGAAAGTTCATGAGAATTTAGTGTAATTTACCCGGACACGGGCAAGCGTGGCAAATGATGTTTAGCAAAAGGACGACATTTGCTAATATACTTCAGAAATTCTATTTCACAATTTTGTGAGCTCTTCTGTTAACGGACCCTAGTCGACGGTTAATCTGCTATTTTCAGCTTATTATTAATTTTTTTAAACTCTAATTTCTCCCTCATTAGTTGGCCTCCGTTGACTAATTATTCAACCCCACTAGAGCCCACCCCCCAGAGACTCAACCAACCTTGACCCCCATCAAACCATTTATCAAACGCACAGATCCCAGCCACGTGTCCTTTATAACCGTCCACCCTGTCACGTTATTTCCAG